GAGAGAGAGAGAGAGAGAGAGAGAGAGAGAGAAGGTGTAGAGAAAAGAGAGGCAGGCACAACCATTTTGGAATCAGACATGTGGATGACAATCACAGACAATCTGGATGAGTAAGTTTTTCTCTTTGGAAAAGAATCTTTCACTGGGCAGCCTTATACCTGACACCACTTCAACACTTCAAATCATAATGGAATTGGAGGAATTTTATTTAAAAAATCAATACACATAATACATTTGAGGATAAGCATTGCCTGGTGTCAGATCGCACTCCCGTTTGTGTGGCCTCAGCTTATGCAGGCACGGTCGGTGGATTGGAAGCCCTGGACTCCCCGAATGCTGTATGGCTACGACCATCCCCTCTCCTGTGCATGTTCTCTGGCAATCCTCCCAGAGTGCCTGCAGCTTCTGCACACCACAGTTATCAGTGGGGAAGGTCCAGCTCTTCATGCAATGTTCCTATAATGTGGCACTATTAGGTTTACCCTTACAGTCCAGCTGCTCATGAATTCTTAGATTCAAGCAATGATAGGATGGGATGGTCTTAGACCTATCATATCCTCGCTGGATGATAACTCTCCTTTGCATCCTAGATCCTGCCCTGGACTGGGGGAAAGCTAACCGTTCTATTTCCATTTACAGATTAAGTGATTGAAAAGCCATTTCAAACTTTGGTGCTGGGTGTCACTTTTATCAGTAGAGTTGTACATTCTTACATACCCACAGGCTTCAAAATCTCACCCAAGTCTCACCCCAATTATTCCACAATGTCTTTCTTTGGATGGGTTTAAAAAATCGCCATTTCACTTAGCAAATCTTTTCTCCCACTGGTGTTTTTGAAGCTTTGGTGGGTTTTTAGGGTGTATTAATAATGTGCTTTCAATTTCTACTTCTTGATTGAATAATAAATATTTGGAGTGATTTTCTCTTGAGCTCTGAATGTGTTTTTGCCTGATTGTGTGTGTGTGTGTGTGTGTGTGTGTGTGTATGTGTGTGTGGCATTTAATGTGATCACATGAGAGAGCTCATGATTCAGCTGCTTGGTTCCTTTAACTGAACATCTCAGGCTGCCAAGTTTAAGGCCATTCCCTGGTTTTACATTGTCATCATTCATAGCCCTGTCTTATGGAAGAGCCAGAGTTAAGTCAGAAAAAGAATGAAACACTCACACTTAAATTATGTAGCTTGATGAGAGTTTAATAAAAAGAGTATTTATAATGTGTGTGCAGAGTAGAGGGCAACCCCTAGGATGGTGACGAACACTGAGATTAGAAACGGAGGGGCCATGGTCAAACCTAGTCTGAAGAGGCAGGAGATGGCCAGGGTTCTTCCAGGAGCTGTGGCCTTTAGTCACAAGACTCAGACAGCTTGAGGGGAATAAACGTACCTTTCATGTCTACCTACCAAACCCAGTATAAACCAGAGCTCAAGGGACTTTGTTGAGGCAAACCATAAAAGCAACATTTAATAAAATACAGTAGAATGCGTTTTGACATATTATGCATGCATGGATCTGACCTCCCATTCTGTGGTTGTACATGATGTGGAGTTACACTGGTCATGTATTCATATATGAACGTAGGAAAGTTATGTCCTATTTTTTTCTATTGTCTTTCCTATTCCTGTCCTCCCTCCCTTCCCTTAATTCCCCTAATTCAATGAACTTCTGTCCCCCCACCCCCACAAACACACTTATTGTGTGTTAGCATTCACATATCAGAAGGAACATTTGTAAAAGCCAACTTTTAACAATGGGACATGGTGTATCAAAAACAGAGATGGTACTGGAGAGTTGGATGAGATCCATCTAGAACATATCATTTAATGCACATCTGCATTCAATCAATGGTTCAAAGCCAGAATGCATACTTATTCTGAAAACCTGTTTGTGACTTTTTCTCACCAAATTTACACATTACATTCATTCAGTTAGAATTTCCTCAACACTGAGTTGCCTGTAGTACTTAAAAGTATCAAGATGCAAAGGAACAATATAGTAATATTATAGCTCATTTGACCATTCTTTTCAAAGAACCAAGCATCCAAGCATAGCAGTGTAGTAATGTGGAAATGTTTGTAAATTACAACCTGAAACCTTCTTTTATTTCATTTGGAAACATATATAAGCATTATAAAACAAATAATTTTGATAACCATGACTCAAAAATTTTTATTATCAAATATTAAGAGCAGGCTCTCAGTGCAATAACCCCTATTTCAAAGTTGTTTGGTATACATTTTGAATACTTCTTAGTTCCCTAAGCAAACAAGACACATCCTTATGATTTATTATGTTATAAATCATATGTTCTTTAATATTTAATTAATTTAAATAAATTAAATTACATGCACCATATGTAATGGGAAGATATCAAAAGTGCTCTTTAATTGTAATGGATATTGTTAATTTATAATGAACTTAAGGTGTGGTATGTAAAATGTCCACAACTAAACAAAGAATACCTAATAGCTTTTTTTGTAATGCAAAAATTTTAAAAATGACTAAGCCATTATTATAGGGATAGTGAAAGGGATTGCAGAGTCTAAAAATAATAAAAATACTGATTGGGGCTTTCTAGGATATTCAATGTATCAACTTGAAAACTCTCCTCTAGTGATTTGAAAAAGCCTGCATCCTAGGAGTCAGCTCTTGAGAGGTTAAGGACCAGGACTCTAAGTGCTAGTGCGAGGATCCACAGCTGGTTGGGCAAGCTTGGTTATTTGCCTGTTTACGTGTGTCCAGCTGTAACAGAGACACCCTCTGTCATTAGCCTCAGGAGGACCATGGAGGAGGACTGGAGTGGTCGATTGAACAAGGGCATGGAATCCAAGCCTCTCCATGGAGCTCCTGGCAAAATGACTGCTGGAAGCTTGGTTTTCCTTTCTGTCCTTGACTGAAGGTCAGTCAATGGGACAAGGGAAACCACCATTCCATCCTTTGACTATTTTAGGTTCTTTGCAGAAGTGGTATCATGTATCCTTTCTCCTTTCATGTCTGACTGACTTCACTTAGCTTAATGTCCTCAAGTTCATCCAGGGAGGGGCCATGGGGAGGTATTAGTAAAGAGAATCCAGTTTTGATTATACAGGAGGAATAAGTCTTAGAGATCTATTATGTAGTATAGTGTCTATAGTTGAAAATACGGTACTGTAAGGCTTCTAGGAGGGTAGCTTTTATGTTGAGTGTTCTTATCACTGGGAGAAAAAGATGGGTGGGAGGAAAGAAATTTTGGAGGTGCTGGATATGTTTTTGGCATAGATTGTAGAGCTGATTTCACAGGTATATGC